GTGTTGTTTGGCGACCCCCATGAAATGGTCGTTCGACCCCAAATGGGGTCCCGACCCACAGGTTGAGAACCACTGCCCTATACCATTTCAGATAGGTGGCTGTCCAGTTTTTTCTTAAAAACCTCCAGTGATAAAGCACCTACAGCTTCTGAAGGCAAGCTGTTTCACTGGTTAATTGTCGTCATTGTTAGGAAGTTTCTCCTTAATTCCAGGTTGCTTCTCTCCTTGATTAGTTTCCATCTATTGTTTCTGGTCTTGCTTTGAAAAATGCCACACTTCTTTGTGGCAGCCTCTGAAATACTGCTATCATGTCACCCCTAGTCCTTCTTTTCTCTAAACCAGCCATGCCCATTTCTTGCAACCCTTCTTCATATGTTTTAGTCCCCAGGCCTTTAATCACTGTAGTTCAGTGGTGGCGAACCTATGGTATGCATGCCAGAGGCGGCACTCAGGGCCCTCTCTGTGGGCACGCATGCCACCACTGCCAGTAGCTTGCGCAGGTCCATTAGGCCGCCGCTGCTGCCCAGAGCGGCAGCCCCACCAGGCACAAAGGAAGTGAAGCAGCCAGTTAGCAAGCTCGAGTAGAGGTGGTAGAGCACGCCCACGCCCAGCAAGCCAAAGGCCACCCCGAGCAGGGAAAGCTGGATCCCCATAGATGCCATAGCCCGCCAGTCCCAGCCAGAATTGCATGCCTCCCCCCATCTATGCTGGGCTTCCTGCCCACCACCCCACCTGCCAGAGACCCCCTGGATCTCCCCCAACCCTGTCCAGCCCCCACAGACTTCCCCCCATGAGCAATATCGAGGTGGCCATGCCCACCCCAGCCATGCCACCCAGTTTGCCAAGACAACCGCAGCCACGCCCACCCAGTGGGCTACGCCCCCATGCCCCCCCCTTGAGGGCACCACTACCTTGATGTGGCCATGGCACTTTGCGATAAATAAGTGGGTTTTGGGTAGTGATTTGGGCACTCGGTCTCTAAATGGTTCGCCATCAGTGCCCTAGTTGCTCTTCTCTGCACCTTTTCCAAAGTCTCAACATCTTTTTTGTAATGTGGTGACCAAGACTAAATGCAGTATTCCAGGTGTGGCCTTACTAAGGTTTTTTAAAGAGGTACTAATACTTCACGTGATTTTGATTCTATGCCTCTGTTCATACAACCAAGGATTATATTAATGGTTTTGGCTGTGCCGCACACTGCTCACTCATATTTAAATGATTGTCTACTAGGATTCCAAGGTCCCTCTCACAGATACTGTTTTTGAGCCAGGTTTCGCCTAATCTGTACTTGTACCTTTGTTTTTTCCATGTTTTTTCGTTTTTACTTGTACCTTTGCCTAAGTGTAAAACCTTGCTTTTTTCCACATTAAATTTCATTTTGATGGGTATGGCCCATTGATCAAGTCTTTCAAGATCTCTTTGGATTCTGACCTTATCTTGTGGGATGTTGGTTAGCTTAGTGTCATATGCAAATTTGATGAGTTTCCCTTCTATTACCTCATCTAAGTCATTTATGAAGATATTGAAGAGTACTGGACCTAAAACAGAATCTTGTGGTATCCCACTGCTTACTTCCCTCCATGTAGATGTAGTACCATTAAGAAATACTCGTTGAGTATGGTCTGTCAGCCAGTTACAAATCTATCTGGTGGTGATGCTGTCTATCCCACATTTTTCTAGCTTATCAAGAAGTAGGCTATGATCTACTTTGTCAAATGCCTCCCTGAAATCCAAGCATACTATTAGCATTTTGCTGTCCTACTAATTTAGTCATTTTGTCAAAGAATGAAATCAAATGATTTTTCAAAGAAGTGCCAAGTTCTGCTGAATTGTAAACACCGCTCTTTAGTCTACCTTCTTACCTGAAATGTAGTTGTTGTTGGCTTTCTTTACTAAGAAGACAGGAGAGTAGGGACTCAAGTTCTGCTTTTCTAAACAACTGCATCTCAGGACATATGAATGATCAAGTGATAAAGATCAGTCCTTGGCCAAAACTTCCTTTTCTTTTGCAAAGGAAGCTTTCAATCTAAATCTCAACAAAGAACCTAGAAATGCTGCCAACTTACACACTTGTTAGAAAACCCAAATTCTTCTGCTTCTTTACAGTTCTCCAAGACAAAGAGGCTGGAGCTATGATTCGCTGCCTAGTATTGAAATTCCCAGTTCCATGTTCAGCTGTTTTTGCTACCATGCAGCAAGCAGCTACTTGCTTGCAAATGTCATTAACATATTTACTTGTTTTAGTTTAGGAGAGAAGATGACTGAGTTTATTTTGAAGCAGAATAAAAGTGGGGCCTATTAGAAAAAGGAAAATTGGTTTGTGCATAATTGGCAGGATCCACCTTTCAACCTTCAGAATGGAACATCTACTTTCTAGCTCATTGTTAACAACATGTAAATTGCTAGGTTTTATTGTGCTGTCACGATTGGACTGGCTGTTCTAGTTCCAGAGATTTTGTTGTTAGAGCTTTACAAAACTGACCTTACAAATAGTTTTGAACTAGGAGAAAACTGACTATAGTTTTCTTTTTCTTTGTTTGTCAATTGATTTTTACCTCCTCGCAAGAATGTTTGAAGTTTGAAGCTTTTCTTGGCAAGGAGGGTATAGAATTTTGCTACTAATGGCCTATTTAAAAACAAAACACTGCCATTGTCATGAGTTAGGACTTTACAACAATGTGATATCTGATAGTTATTTCAAAGAAATTGGTGTGTATTTGAATGGCCAGCCTATGATTTACAAACTGATTTTCAAAACAGAGTATACAGCTGATTAACCTCTAGATAATTTGCTGTCTGATAGGGAAAGTTTTTCTTCCTTTTCTAGTCCCTATGTGATACCTTTTTTTTTTAAAGGATGATGCTGTATTTTGTACACTGTATTTTTCAAACAATCTCAAAATAACTTGAGATTACCGTATTTTCCAGCGTATAAGATGATTTTCTAAAATATTCAAATCTTCTCCAAAGTCAGGGGTCATCTTATACGCCGAGTCATCTTATATGCTGGAAAATACCATATTCTCCGGCGTATAAGACGACTTTCTAACCATGCAAATCTTCTCCGAAGTTGGGGGTCGTCTTATACGCCGAGTCGTCTTATACGCCAGAAAATACAGTAATTTCTGGAAAGTCTATAACAATGAGATATGGAGGCATTGATATAGATTGGGACCTTTCCTTCCAAAAACAGGGGGCACAAACAGTTGTAGGAAGGCTGATGCCTTAGCTGGTAGTAATGATGTCACTACATTGCAAGAGGTTATAGATTTGAAGTCTATAAGCTATAAGTTACTCTCAAGCTGCTCTACTGAATGATATGTGTAAATCATTTTCTTGAGACCGTTTAGGAAGCAAGCAGTTCTTTCCTTTAATGGTTTTTCTCTTCTGGCTTTCAAAAAAGGGAGCTTACATGGGACCTTACTGGCAAATCAGTCTTCAGTCCCCATTAGCAATGTAAGCTTGATGCTGCTGCTAATTTGCAACAATGTATGTGAAATATGAACTAATTAGAAAAGGTTGGAATTGTGATGATAGTAAAATATAGATAGTTTTGGAGAGGATGGGTAGTCCTCAACTTACGACCACAATTAAGCCCAAAATTTCTGTTGCTAAGTGAGACATTAGTTAAGTGAGTTTTGTCCCATTTTATGACTTTTCTTGCTACTGTTGTTATGAGAATCACTGCAGCTGTTAAGTTAGTAACGGTTGTTAAGTGAATCTGGTTTCCCTATTGACTTAGCTTGTCAGAAGGTGGCAAAAAGTGATCACATGACGCCAGGCACTGCAACCGTCATAAATATGAGTCAGTTGCCAAGTGTCCAGACTTTCATCATGTGGCCTTGGGGATGCTGGAATGGTTGTAAGTGTGAAAAATGGTCATGTCACTTTTTTCAGTGATGTTGTAACTTAGAATGATCACTAAGTGAACTGTAGTAAGTCGAGGACTATCTGTAGTATTTGCTAGCACACGTTTTCAGATATATTCAAGTGCTTATATTAATATCAACTTGATTTAGCTTAGCCTTCAAGAAAGCCCAGTAAATGTTCCTAAAATAGCATTTTGGTAGTTATCGAGTGCACATCTGGATTTTGTACAAAGCAAGATTTTGAAAATATACAGTCAATCAAGATTACCCATTAGAGTCCTGTGTAAACCAAATTAAATTATTTTAATAAAATCTTCAGGCCTTTTTTCCCACATGTATCTAATCAATGCACAAAAATCCAATGGCAACATATTCTTTTTTCGACTATATCTCTTTATGTCGTCTCCAGGTTATCAACAAGAGAAGCTTAAGTTATCTTTAGCTATAGCAGTGTTAAAATAGTCTTATCCCTCTTATTCCAGTGCAGTCCAAGGACAGACAAGATATAAGAAACCTGTTAGGCTTTGGATAGAAGTCAAGCAATCACAATGGCTTGAAACAGGCAATAGAACCAGGATAAGGATCAGAAGCAGAGACAGTAAATATCTTGCTACTATAGTTTTCTGCTGATTCAAGGATTGGTGGAGAACATTTCAGTTTAACAATGAAGAAATGCCCATCAGATGCATCTTCTCAAATACCTAATTCACCTATCAAGTTAGATGTAAATATCTTTCTCAGTTGCTTTTGACTAAGAATTATCCATTTTTCAGGAGATTTTTTTATGATAGGAAAGCATTGTTAAGAAAATTACTCAGTGACAACTTCATTTGTGTCCTGTGATGTAGTAACTTATTTATGAATTGCTATTGAGTTTAGCTGATTTGATCTTCAATATTGTCCACCTGTAAAATATGGGTTATCTTGTTAATATTTTAATCTTTTATATAAAAGAGTTTTATAACTTATATGTAAAGAAAGTGGACTTAAGCAGAGCAAGCATTCCAGTAAACAGAGGCTAGCCATGATAAAAGGGTAGAGAACCAGAAAGCAATTATGTGGTTGATATGCTAAACAAATGAAGCTTGTTCTCAATTACTTTAACTAAATGTTTTTCTCCTTATTCTGCAGAATGTGCTTATTGTGGAGGTAAGTTCATATATTTGTTTATGGCAAGAGCAATTTGCATGGATTTATTATATTCTATTTAGAGAAATGCCAGTAATTTTTGAATGCCTGGCTAAATGCCAAGCAATAATAAAAATTGATAATTTAACAGAAAGTATTATAGAATATTGGTGAATCATCTATTTAAAATTCTAGATTTAAAAAGTTATTGGAAGAGTAGGCCTTTGTTTTTTATAAACAAAATATCATTGACTTATTTTTAAAAATTAGCAATATGTTTTATGTGTTTATTGTTAATATAATCTAACTTTTAAAATATTAATATACAGCATTTTATGTTGTTTTGTTAACATTCTTTATACATTTTACAAAGGATATCATTGGAACTGGAAGAACTATGAAAGCACTCCTTAACAGTATTAAAAAATATAAACCCAGAATGGTTAAGGTAGCAAGGTAAGTGTCCATTTGTAAAAGAATATATTTAGGTTTAATTCAGTCTGATGCCAAGTCAAAATTTCCTTAACTTTGATTTGTTAGTTAAATTCAAAAGTAGTATCAAACTACAGTTCACCAACCATTTTGCCGGTATTAATATTTGGTGCTAAACCAAAAGCTGAACAACCATATTAGAGTTATAATGTTTCTTTGAATGGGCAGAGGCTCTCCAATGATCTTCAAATGCTAATTACTCCTTTTAACTGGACATTGCACAGTTGGAATTTATAATGTCCATACTTCAAGTTGAAATAAGGCAGGGTGGCCATTCATTATGGGCCATGGTTCACTTTAGTGAATCTTGACTTGTATGGGACAAATTATTTGAAACTTTTTTAAATCATGGAAACATTTTGTTCTTCATTTAATTGCAGCTTGTTGGTGAAAAGAACAGCTCTACCAGATGGATTCAGGCCTGACTGTAAGTCCCCTTCTATGAGTTACTTCATAGTCAAGGATATTCAAGAAAGCTTCCATTCTCAAATTAAATAAGATACCTAGGCATTAGGATGCTCTTCAAAAATGTTATTAAGAATGGACCAATTGTGAAAGTGCCCTATGAAACACAATACTCAACTTAAGTGTTTTCTTTCCTTTTTCTGCATGTATTAGGATCCTTCGCTTGTTCACCTCTAATAAATTAGAATGATAAACCCTAAACAAAAAAAAAGTACCAGATATAATTTCCTGGTCAGTTAGCTGCTCCTGTTGACAGAAATTAAAAAGCAAGAGTTATAAAAGAGGAAGCATCAGTGTATATTTGTTTGTTCTTGATATAGCCATCAAAAATCTCTGCCTTGTCTAGTAACTGCATGTGTGAATTATAGTTCCCTGTGTAGTCTCAAACTGCCTAATCAGTCTGTCATTCCCAAGAACGTTAAGTATTCATTCAAGTTCATTACACCACTTTCAAGACTATATTATATAAGGCGTTAAAAAAGCTTATGATCATTAACTCTCAGTGTGTTAATCATGTCACATACTTGTCATAGTTTGCTTAACCATAATTTGTGTAATTGTAATTAATTGGCTATACAGAAATTCATGTTTTATTCTCTAAATGAGAAATAAAGATCACAAAATGGTTTAGCACAGTACATGAACTAGGTTTGAGATTTCAAGCATTATCATAATCCAAAGATATCTAAACAGCAACCAAGTAGAGAATGTAATAAAACTTGGCTTCTCTAGCAAGTGACAAAACCTACCTTGTGATGTAAACTGTATCACGATGCAAGTATGAAAATGACTGAGTTTGTGTTATGATGTCATAGCATATAATTTGTCTTTTGATAAATGTTTAATGGATGCCTATGAGCTTCAGCTGTTGTTATTAAAAGGTGATAGAAAAATATAACAGGAGAAATCTGATTGGATAAAATAAAGTTAAGAATATTTCAGATTTTCTTTCTTTTTCTGAGTCAAAACCAAGAGGATCGCTTTGGGACAGCTTCGTTGTTAGTTGCGAAGTCATATCCGACCCATCGCGACCCCATGGACAACATTCCTCCAGGCCTTCCTGTCCTCTACCATATTCTGGAGTCCATTTAAACTCATGCCTACTGCTTCAGTGACTCCATCCACCTTATTCTCTGTCATCCCGTTCTTCTATTGACCTCAATCTTTCCCAGTATTAGGCTCCTCTCCAGTGAGTCCTTCCTTCTCATTAGGTGGCCAAAGTGTTTAAGTTTCAACTTCAGGATTTGGCCTTCTAAAGAGCAGTCAGAGATGATCTCTTCTAGGACTGACCGGCTTGATCGCCTTCAGTTCAGGGGACTCTAGCACCATAGTTCAAAGGCCTTATGTGATCTAATTGGATACTAATAGTCAACTCTGATTTAAGGGATCAGCTGTAAAGTATTCTTGCTCTCTTCAGACTTAGCTGGAATTTGGCTTATAAAGACATTTTTCAGGTTACTGAACTATGATTTAAAGAAAAAAAGGAAAATGACCTCAGTTTATCATTTTAACAATATATCCTTTTTTTTCTTTTTCTTCCTCCTATGTTAGATTATGGATTTGAAATTCCAGATTTATTTGTGGTGGGTTATGCCTTAGACTACAATGAGTACTTCAGAGACCTAAATGTAAGTTTCAACATTCTCAATTCCCTGAAATAAGCTTTAAAAAAAAAAAAAACAATCAAACATAGTAATATGCAAAGTGCTTCTGTGACAGGATGTTAACAGAAGGGGAAAAGAAGAGCAGGGTGCAAATTAGAGTTGATAGAATGTATGGTCTGACTGCAAAGACTCAGTTTTTGACATCTTCCAATAGATTGACGAAATGTGTTGTCTGAAATCCTAGAGAATTTGTGCTTGTCAGTGTAGATATGAGATTCAGGGCTCATTGAGGCCCATCAAAGCCTTGATTATAACCTGTAGAAACTCTTTACACAGTAGTGTTTAATGTGGCAGTAGGGGTAATTATTATATTTTTAAAAAGTAACCATATTTAACTATATATAAAACTGGTCTGTCCCTACCTAATTTTTTGTTGGACCCTGCTGGCATCTGGGAAGGTTCTGAAGCATGCTACTCAAAAGTCAAATATATGCAGCCCAATGTAGAAATAATAGACTATATAAGCCAGTGGCCCAAATGGTATATTGAACTTCCTACGTTTCCTGTACTTTGCCTTTTTCTAAGGAATGTTGTGCAGAGTTGGTTGTATAAATGCTTTTGCCTTCAGTGAATGACGATGTTAAACTTCTGTTGTTTCAGCACTTATGTGTTATCAATAACCACGGCAAAGCAAAATACAGAATCTAAAGAATAATCATCTTTGACTGGAACATTTGTGGTCCTCATGATCGTCTCCATTAGAACATACCAACTCATCTCATTCAGGCTGGACTACACATGGCAATTCCCCAGGAAAGATCATCTTGGACTTTGATACAGTTAGACTCCTTTATTTCCTTCAGACTAGAGGTGAAAGGAAACTTGGTTATTAATTTTTGCACCCAGCTTTGCCCAACCTTATCATGCCAGATTTGTTGGGATTAAATTCCCATTGTTTGTAACCACCAAGTTCTCTTACCCTGTGTAACAAGTGCCTTTAAAAATGTGTGTTGAGCACAACTGCACAATGATCAGTGGGCTCTGTGGAGCTATTATAACAATTATTACATTTTAATGGTGCAGTTTGTTAGATCATTTTTTAAAGACAGTGTTATAGTGCCTTTACTTAAGCTCTTTTTAATGGAATTTGTATACATAATTGTTACAATTTCCTTTTTATGACTATCATTGTTGAGATATTTATTCTCACCCATTATTTAAAAATCAAAGGAGCAAAGACCTCAAACTAAATGATTCTCCCTTAACTCAATAGTTCTTTGTAGAACCCCTGAGATAATTTAGGCTGGTCAAGAATGGCTTGAGCCAATGTTTGAATTCATAAAAGCAAACAGACTGCATTGTGGTTTAAACATTGTGTTTTATACATCATTGCTTTTGTTTTAGTAAAATGTGTGAACCAGCTCATTATAGCATGTTCAGCAAAACATAGTTTTAAACCATACTATGGCTTGCAGGTAGGGAGGAAATGCCATAATTAAGCAAACAATTATCTTCTTGTTTAAAGTCCAGTATTATGTACACTATGCTTCAAAACTAATTTAGGATTTGAAATATTAGAAGTCCTCGTCTTATATTCTAACCCAGGGGAATTCAGAAGAGGGCAATTTGTCACCCTTTATTTGTTTTCGGCAGCTTCTTGCTTTCTAAGGTTGAGGGGAATTGAAATTCAGTATCTGGAGGGTAGGGACAATGGCCTACGCTTCATCTGATCTTAGTGTCATGCTGTCCTTGTTCATTTGTTTGTTCTTCTGCTTCTTATATCTCCACAAAATTTGTTCCAATGCCACTTTCTTTGTTTAGAGCTACAACTCCTGTTCAGGGAGTACAAGGATTAATTTTGAATCATTGGAATAATATAAGCAAGTGTATTAGCACATTAGCAAATAGAATTTGCATAAGTTAAAATTCATTATACTGTTACTGCTTTTATGAAATATATCTGCAGTGTCTAATTATGTATTGAGCCTTTCCCAAATAAGCATTGTCCAGATGTATTGGGACTGCAAATCTCAGAATTCATCTTGTAGGAATTCTAAGAACCAGGCTCTGGCAGTTGGCTTGGATCCCCAATAGGGCATCCCATTCTGGAAAAGGCTAGTAGATTTGGAGAAGATTCTACCTTCACCCTGTTTAACACATTGGTCCTTCTTATCCAGTTTGTTGTTAATTTTAATGCTTTAACATTTAATGCTCAATGTTTTATATTTTTGACCTTCTAATTATTTTATACTGCTATTATAATACTCTAAGCCGCCCAAAATCACTTGATAGTCAGATGGGCAGCATAAAATTTTAATAAATAAATAACCACACTAACACATCTAGGGATATAAGATGCGGGAAAGCCAATGAATGGAATCTTCCGCTATCCTATAATAATCATTGAAGTCATCTTTGATTTCTGGCCCAGATTTTTTAATTTATAACCTTATTTTAGGTTATAGTTCAAAGCATCCCAGTCAATTTATGGTGGAAGTATTGGTCCAACAATATTTGGATTGATTGGACATGCCTGTTTTTCAAGGTTCTACTACAATCTTGTAAGCCTCTTAGTGCCTTCCTTTGAGCTATACTTCCTTTGTAAAAAACTATTTAGGCATTAAAGTGCATTGAACTCTTACAACATGATAACTTGTTTTCCTTTCATCTCATTCCTTGTGAATGGTCCTTTTTCATATATTTCTTGTATATATAAAGCTAGAAGTGTAACTTTCTTAAAAGTAGATCTTATTAACACAGTGGAACTAAAAACCTCATTTAACACAGTGGAGTTTGAATAAATATGCTGGAAAATTGTTTTCTGTAAATCAAAAAAGTTTTCCCATTTTCAGAGGTTGAAAACTAGACTTTTCCTCTTCTATGTTTGGTAAGAATACCTATGTTAGGGAGAGAAATATGACTATATTTGTTAGTGAATCTCTAGTACTAAAAACAACTTTGTAGACTGATGCTCAGAATCACCAGGTGCTGCCATATCCCAGTTCCTGAACTGAATCCCACCACTCTTTTTATATTGGTGATTATATCTGTGGAGATTCTCATTCATCCAGACTCTCATTCATGGTTGTTCCAAAGGTGCTTTTTTTCAGGAGGCAACTGGACTTTCTTGTTCTTATTTGAATATGTTTCACTTCTCATCCAAGAAGCTTCTTCAACTCTCACTGGATGATGGGGAATATAAATCTTTCCTTTCCCCACCATTCAGTCAGAGCTGATGAGAAGCGAAACATCTTCAAAGAAAAACAAGAAAATCCAATTGTCTCCTGAAAAAAAGCACCTTTGAGACATTGGTGATTATAATTTCTTACTTAATTTGTTTTAGCATAGAAAAGACAGAGTAATAGGGTAAAAGCAGGCATGTCCAAACTATAGGCTGCATGTGTGGCCCTGGACAGCTAATCATCTGATCCTACCAAGACTGTAAAATATAAAAAAACAAATAAAGTTTGTGATTGATATACATTAACTATATTATATATTTTGTAAGAGGCCTGAGACAATTCCTCTTCACTCATGCAGGCCAGGCAAAACAAAAGGTTGGACATACTTAGTTACAGGTTTCTCTTCATGGGTAATATCATCCAAAATCAACAGGGTCCCAATCTTAACTTTTAGTTAAGATAATACCAGAGCACTTCAAATGGACTGCACAGCCCATAATTCTTACTGGGCACGATGGAAGTTGTAAACTATTCACAAAGATTTAATTATGAGGAAGACAATCCCTAGAGACTATAGGATTTTCTTTTCTTATGCTTGTTTTTCATAGCCAATCTACATCATTGGGTGTAAATGCTCGAATGGCTAGGATTTTTATTGATTAAATGTACTTTGTTCGGAAAAAAGGGGAATCATTTTAAAACAAAAACTACTAATGTGAAAAACATTTGTAGTGCAGTTGCCTTAATGGGCTTCCTGATTTTTACACAACCATCTCCAGGGGAATTTTGCATTTTTACCTTTAGACATTTGAAGAAAGGTCATTATGGGTTATATACAAATGTTTCCAAAAGCTTCCTGGTTAAAAAAAAAAAAAATTACAAGCAAGAATAGCATGGGATCTATTGTGGTTAGACTGGAGTTTCCACTAAACTAATAAACAGTTAGGATGTTTTGCTATATTGCAAATTTCTTATGATTTCTCTGTTTTCTTTTAGCATAGATTTGCACTCCTGCTTGAAGCTTTCACTTCAAATAAATAAATGCTTTTTGGCAAAAACGATGTAAATCTTTGCTCCTGTCTAATTCAAATTTTCCTATACCTAAATATTAGCTTGTATTTCTGCTTCTTATAAAAAGAGAATAAAGCAAATGAGAATAATTGTGGGACTTCAGATGTTTTTCAATTTTTCAACGTTTAGTATTTTCGCTAAATGCCATCACTATCTTTTGTTGGTTGTTTTTAGGCTATAAACAGGTGGGATTTTTAAAAAGAAGAAGGTTCTTTTGAAGTTATGGAAAGTTATGGCTCCTCCAATTTAGCCTTGAAACTTTAGCCATCGTAGCCTGTTCTATCTGGAGTGCGGTTAAAAAGAACGCATTCAATCTCAGAAGGCATGCAAAACATATTTTCGGCACATTCAGTATCAGAAGTCATGCAAAACATATTCTCAATATATAAATAATCTCTTTACCATAATCATGAATAAAAAACAAAAAGATTTGTGCCTGGGAAACAAATGCCACTGTAAGCGCAAAACACACACAAGAGAATGTGATTTGAGCATAAGTATTTTTTTCAATTAATATGTCTAATCAATATCAAATTTTATAACTTGTAAGCCACCCAAAGTCACTTTGTAGGAGTAGCATAAAACTTTAATAATAAATTAATAATTTCACAACCCCATACGAATTTTCATTATTTTGGAGGATAGTCTGCTGTACTTAATAGATTGCCACACCTGAAAATGAGGGGAAGCTCAGGCAGTCCAATGCTCTGCCTACCTTAAGGCCTATGAGTAAATTGAAAATGATTGCCATTGTCTACTCCTTTAAAAAAAATGCATACAGATTTGTCTCCTTTTTCTGGGAGTAGATATATTATTTCCTTGTCTATATTAATCATGTGCAGATATTTGGGGTGACACACTTTCCACTAAACAATTAAAAAATTTGCAAGACACAAATATGATATACATGAAGTTGACACTTATACACTTTAGTCTAACACAGATAACAACAGTTAAGCTTTGTTGCTTTCCTTTCATGCAGCTAGTGCTAACGCTGGAGTTGCACCTGTACTGACTATTACTGATGCAGCTCATTTCTAGTAGGAACCTGAACATAATAAATTCCTATACATAATATACAGTTAACAATTCCTTGTTTACTGCAATCCTCATCAAAGGCTCTCAGGTTTGCATCATATCATACAGATCTTTGTTTGACATGAACAAAGAGGAGGTTCTTTTCTGTTGTAAAAATGATAGATAGTTGTATAGTAGATGAAGCATACAGTGGCATATGATGGATTATTATCAAGGAGGAAAAGTAGGAATAAGGAATTCTTCCTACTCAGTTGTTGTATCCAGATGTAATGGCATTTTCAGCTAAGCAAAAGTAAAGGCCATGGCTATCTTAGAAATGTCTTCAAAGCAAAACAGCACCCTTTGAACTGTGACTGCAGTGATGTTGATGATGATATACAGTAAGCACTTGGGCATCTCATAATGCACAGGGTCCAGATTCAACCTCAGCTTCTCCCCATATAGCAAGGAAAAACTACTCCGAAATCTTGAACTGCCATTACTAGTCAGTGTCAACAGTGTTACATCTAAAAATAACAATACATAGAAATATATACTGTAGTATTGGAAGTTGATCCATTCAATAGTCACTAAGGAAAGACAACTTATATTGAGACCCACAACATTTACAAAACAACTGTATTTAAAGAATATTCTCAGTGCAGTATCAGGAAGGGTCCATCCAGATACCTCTGATAACTAGCTTGTTCTAGTGGTTAAGACACCGGGTAAAAACCATGATACTGTGAATTCTAGTCCTGCCTTTCCATGAAAGTTAGTTGGGCTAGTCAACTCTATCTCAAACCTATTCATCTCACAAGTTTGTAACTGTGAGGAAAAGGAGTACCAGGTATATTTGCTACCTTGGATTATTTATAAAAATAATAAAGGAAGGATTTTTAAAAAGTCTATAAAAATTCCCAGGGGAATGTAGTCCTTAAGAAACGGCACATGAAGTAAATCCACACAAAGAGATTTTATTGGGATTATAGATACTACTTGGAGAAAGTGGTCCTGCAAATATACAGTTCCTAAAGGCTTTACAGGTGATAACTAACTTCTCAAATTTTTCTTAGAAGCCAACTAGCTTGGGAAATTACACATACATGCACACTATGGTCTGATAATCCTAGACAATAGGTATCCCAAATGAAGTAACTAATCTGAATTAACTAACCTGAATTATACTGCCATAAGGGTACATTTTGGAGATTTTCTATTTACAGTTGCCAGTGTTTGTCTTCTAAACCCTGGAAAACATTAAATGTAGCTGTAGAGAGAAAAATGGCACTGAAGGGTTTTCTTTTTTTAGGGTTCTTGCCTGATCTGAGCCTTTAATTAAAATTTCTGCTGTCAGGATGTGCCTTTCATTGCTTCCAGTGCAGCATGGCAGAAGAATCACTCCTGAAGAAGCCATTAATTCTCCCTTGAATGTATTTTCATAATTGGCCCTGGATGTCATTTTCTGTTTGTGCAAAGGAGAGGGAGGGAAGCTGGAAGGAAGAGTCCTCATTCCAACTTTCCTTTTTTAAAAAAATACTGAAAAATAAAGCTATCCCCTTATATAAGAGGACAAAATAATAATGGAACAGTAGTAATTATAAACCCTTAAAAAAGCCAACAATGAAAAAAATGAAGAAAGGTTATTCAAGAACAAATAATCAGTTGTCCTGTCTTAATAGGAAAAGGAAAAACCTGCAAAAATTAAGTTTTTAATTAACACTGGAAGCAATCAGTGTTACAATATTTCCATCTAAATAAACAATATAGAAGGATTTTGACATTTGGTATTGTGTTGTCCATAAATCTTTTTTTTTAATTCTGTTTCCAGCTGCCTGAATAAAATTTCTTGGCATAATCAAGGGTTTTTGCTTGGAAGCAATGTCCCAGTGAACCTGGGTGAATATGTATATTTTAGTTTAATCCAGGATTAATGTGAGCTTTAAAACAACATAATTTCCCTTGTACTTTGAAGGAGAAAAAAGGTTCAAGATAAGGGGATTATACCGAGTGATGTGTTGATGCCTTCCTTATAACTGGAGAGAAGTAAAGTGGATCTTTCCAAATGGTATTGTTTTATGCTGTTCAACTAGAAAACCTACCCAGCTTTTTTCCTAGCTGAACATACTGAAAGAGGAGATAATGCAAACAATTAGATTATCTTTATTAAAGGAAGATTTCTGAATAATAATAATAATAATAATAATAATAATAATAATAAAGTTGGAAGGGATCTTGAAAGTCATCTAGTCCAACCTCCTGCTCAGGCAAGAAACCCTATACCATTTCAGATAAATGGCTGTCCAGTCTCTTCTTAAAAACTTCCAGTGTTGGAGCATTCACCGCTTCGGGAGGCAGGTTGTTCCACTGG